CGTGGCCCAACAGGTGGCGCCAGAGACGCACTGGCCAGAGCTGCGGGTCTTGATCCTGGTGGTGAGTCAAGGGTCTTTGTTACGGAAATTGTGGCTGTCTAGTAGTTGGGCTGACCCAGTTGCCAGGAGGTGGGAGAGGCAGGACTGGGCTGCAGGTGCTTCCTGTGGAGCCCCCCCATTGCTCCTCTTCCTCCCCCATGGCAGGTGAGTGCGGAGAAGAAAGTGGTGGGCAGCACAGCCGGAATGCAGACCAGCGTGAAGACCAGCCGCTTGTTGAAGGTAGGAGATGTGACTGCCCGGTCACATACCCCCCCTCCCCCACCTTTCCCAGCTCCCTGCCTTCCTTCCGCCCCATCGGCACCCCCGGAGACGCCCTGCGTGGGGGCCCTCTGTCACAGTCCTTTTCCGATGCCGATGTGGATTTTAGCACCTCAGGCAAATGGCTTCTCTCCACTGTTCAGATAAACCCAAATGGGGAAATCAAGGAAGCCCAAACCACAGTCCACCCCATCCAGTTGCTTCATTTGCAGCAGTTGCAACTAATCAGCTTGAATGTACAGGTAGCCCTTGACTTATGACCACTTGCTTAGTGATGTTCAAAGTTACGGCACTGAAAAAAATGATTTATGACCCTGCCTTTATGACCTTATAAAATTGTGACTCACTTAACTGCCTCTCTTAGCAACAGAAATTCTCATCCGAAGGGTGGTCGTAAGTCAAGGACTACATGGTTTGGTCAGCCCTGGAAGAGCCTGAAGGACGAAGACGCTCCGTCGCTTCCCTGGGCTCAGTTTTGAGGGAATCTTGGCCTCTCCCCTTCCAAACCGGGCCCAGCGATGCTCTGATCACCAGGAGACCCACTGACCCCCGATGCTTCCCCTGAGCTACCCCCCCCCCATTCTCCTCTTCTAGCACCGGGCCGAAGCCGTGGTCCCAGAGCGCATGGTCCAGATGATCCATCACATCCAGCAGAGGGATTTTGAGGCCTTCGGTCAGCTCACCATGAAGGACAGCAACCAGTTCCACGCCACCTGCTTGGACACCTTCCCGCCCATCTTCTACCTCAGCGACACCTCCAAGCAAGTGATCGCCCTGGTGCACCGCTTCAATGCCCACCACGGGAAGACCAAAGTAGGAGGGGGGCTGCAGCGTCAGGGGTGGGGCGAGGGGATCCCTTGGGGCAGGCTGGCAATTCTCATCTTTGGCCAGCTGGTCAAAGGATCAAATCAAATTGATTCAAATACTTTATTTGGCCAAGTGTGATTGGACACACAAGGAATTTGCCTCTGGTACAGAAGCTCTCAGTGTACATGCAAACCATCAGAATCAGCAGCCTCATCCCAATAAAAGTGGGAGTATAAAAGATTATAATAAGGATAAATAATAATACTACAGCCATACGACAGGGGTAAATACATATAGACATTAGACAGCACAATATCTGTGTGTATTCTGCATATATTTACACAAGGATTATGGCTGGGGAAAATATTCTATCTACATTTTATCCTTTCCCGACCTTTTCTGACAGGTGGCCTATACGTTCGATGCCGGTCCCAACGCCGTCCTTTTCCTGCTAGATGAGACGCTGGAGGAATTTGTGGAGGTGGTCAAACGCAGCTTCCCCCCCAAGAGTAATGGAGACCAGTGAGTGAGCCCAGCTTTGCTGTTTACTTGGGAAGTCAGAGCAAACCCCATGCACCCACTGAAAGCAATCCCCATTTTTTAAAAAAAAAAAAGTGGCAGAAGGGATCTTTGCTTATAATCCCTCCTACAAGTGCTTGTGGTTATTCCCCTGTCTGACATTTTTGCACTAAACAATTTATTTCTTGATACTTGAAAAGATTTCTTCCTCAGGAGAGCCACCCCAAATACTCCTGGCAGAAAACTGCTCTATGCTAAAAATATTAATTCATAGTACTAGTGCAATATATATAATTTGTTAATTCTATAGCCACTCACCTGTTAAACCAATAATCAAGTGACATGTGCTGAAAATCGTGGAGAAATCACATTTAATTTTGGTAATCAGGAGTCTTCAAAACTAGCCAGGCAGCTCGCGGGAGACCCCAAAAGGATGAATTCTGTTAGAAAATAGATGTTGAGGAATTTGGCTTCTTTGAAGCCATTCGTAAATATCAAAAGGCTGTTTTCTTTAGCAAAATGTTCTTCAGGTTTTGCCGCCTTGGTTTTGGCTCCTTCGGCCCCATCTCTTTTCTCTTTAATCATTTATTTATTATTAGATTTATATGCTTCCCATCTCACTGTCCAAAGCAACTGGGCGGCTTACAATAACACACACACACACATACACACACACACACACATAAAAACATTAACAGGAATTAAAATTTTCCTTACGGAGGTCAGGATGGCCACAAATTTTAACCCAAGGATTTTTCCTTCATCCTCTCCTCTTAGGTTTCTTAAAGGTCTCTCCGTGAAGGCAGCAAGTCTCTCGGAGGAGCTGCTGGCGGAGGTGGTTCGGGATCCTATCCCAGGAGCCATCCGGTACCTGCTGATCACCAAGGTAGGTTCTTACCTGGTGGCTGCCAAGGGGCATCAAACACGAGGGCACCCTCCCTGCCAGCTTTCCCTGAAGGTCTGCCAGGTGTTGGGGGAAGAGGCAGGTAGAGAGGGGGCTTCCTTTCCCAGCCTGACAGATTTCCATTTTATCAGTTCTTTATTGAACCTTGGGGTGAGATTTGAGGGATCCTTGGGCCCTTGTTTTCTTGCAGACGTTTCATTACCAAACTAGGTAACATCATCAGTGCTGTAAGTAGTGGAGTTTGCTGTCAGTACTCCTTACAGCTCTGATGACGTTACCTAGTTTGGGTCATGCAAAGTCTCCAAGGAAACCACCAAGCTCAAGAGACCACTAAGGACCCCCTCATTTCAACCCTGAGCTACAAATATTCTCCTTTGTTGGGATGAGGTTTCTCTGGGGGCATCATTTTAAGTGATTTTAACTTCCTTCTGGGAAAGAAACGGGAGAGAAGCCAGTTTCCCTCCAAAAGCTGCTGTTGACTTTTCATCCAGAGCAGCATTCCTGCCCCTTTTCTTGCTGATTGATTCTGCAAAGAAAAACAAATATTCACCTGCACTTAAAACCCTTGGAACCCATGGGCTGAAGTGTGGCCTAGGTATGGGGTTAGGCTCCTGTTTTTTAAAACCTACTTCCAGGTGTGTTAACCAGGATGCCTTCAGCAATTGTCCTTGTCGGTCACCCCAACATTTGGGAGATCTTATTTTTTTGGCCTAATGATCACCCCCGCCCCTGCCCCCAAGATCTGACCATTTAAATACAGATATAAAAATAAGAAAACCTTGCAGAAGGTGTTTGGGTATTTATTTGGAACTGCTTTTTTCACTGCTTCGGTCACTGTTCAGATAGATAACAGTCATTAACTATTATCAATATATCAAACAATAAAATGCAGTTGATAGTTATAGCATTCTTTCCCCTAGCACTTCCTCTCGCCTGCCTTGCTGTTTCACTTACCCCCCTTTTGTTTTTTCTCTTGGTTCAGCCTGGCCCAGGACCATCAGTTGTGGATGATGGGAGCTGCCATCTCCTGGGGGAAGACGGGATGCCAGGAAGCAGCAGCTGAGCCAAGAGCAGCTCCTCTCTGGGGCTGCCCCAGAGCCAGCCAGTTGGAGGGGGGAGAGGCCTGGCTGACAGTCGCTTCTTGCTGGGCGCAAAAGGGATAATTTTTGAGGGTCTTTTCCTGTCCTCATCACCTGTTTCATACTCTGCTTTTTGATTCGGCGCCTTGAGTCTTGTGGACGTCCCTGGCCCATAACTATTTATACAAATTAATAACCTTCAGTTTCTTTGATAACGGTTTTATTATTAAGGGAGGTTTCTAAAATAAAAGAGATATTCTGTGTGGCTCTCTTCTGGAAGCTTGTCTCAGCTGTGGACAGGACAGTCTGGGTTTCTTTGCCCAGCCTTTCTTCCTTTCATATCATTCTCTGGATTTACATGGTGTCTTCCTCTGTCCCCAAAGTAAAAAGGGTGGTAACCATTTTTAAAAAATACTGCATAAAGCTAACTTACAAATGTTATTAGAGAAAAAAGAAAAGTTGTAGGATTTAGAAAAAAAGATGTTGCATAAAGCTAACTTACAAATGTTATTAAAGAGAAAACTTGTAGGATTTAGAAAAAAAACATCGTTCGAACTCTTCAGAAAGCAACATTAAATGTTCTTTCGCTCTCTCCCTGCCCAAATCCACCAGCAAACCCCCCACCCCCCCCACCCGGAAGGGAAGGGCCGGAAGTAATCTGGTTGAAGAACAATCTAGGAAAAGGTGGCTGGCATTGAAAGGAAGGGCCGGAGTGGAATCATGGCAGGAGGGCACCCTAAAGTCCAACCTTGGTAACTTTAAGACCTGTGGACTTCAATTCCCAGAATTCCCCAGTCGTCATGTGCTGGCTGGGGAATTCTGGGAACTGAAGTCCTCAAGTCTTAAAGTCGCCACGGTTGGAGACCCCTGCCCTAAAGAACCCAGACCAGGTTCATTGGAGCCCCACTCCAGCCTTGCCCAACCCAGGGGGAAGCAGGACCCCCTTTTCTTGCACTCAGCAGGGCGGGCGGGGGGCCCCAGGGACCCTTTGCACAGAATCCAGGTCTTCAGGGATGCCTTCAAGGCAGCGAAGCCTCTTTGCGCCTCGCTGTGAGATCGAGGCGGGGGGGGGGGAGGCGCTTCCCCTGCAGATCAGCCGCGGATGCTCCGCTTTCCGGCCGCTGCCGCTTCCAGCTTTTCGCTCCAAGCCAAGCGGGGAGCAGAGGGCCGTCCGGGCTTTCCCGGACCCCCTTCCCAGCGCCGGGGCGACCTCCAAGCGGGGAGAGTCGCCCGAGCAGCGGGAGGAGGAAAGTCCCCGGGGCGTTGCCGGCTCGGCCGCCGGAGGAGGAGCAGGAAGGACGTAGCCGCCCCCCCGGCTGCCCCCTTCGCCCAGCCTCCCCGCCCGGCTGAGTTGAGGCGGCGGCGGCGGCGCGATGGGGCGCATCGAGTGGGCCATGTGGGCGAACGAGCAGGCGCTGGCCGCCGGGCTGAGTGAGTCTGGCGGGGACGGAGAGGGGCGGGGGGCGCAGGCTCCCCCCCCCCATGGCTGGGATCTTGGCGCTTTCTCTCGCTTCATCCCCCTCCCTCTTTCTTTCTTTCGCTACAAAGTTTCGAAACTTGGCTACCAAGTGTCCAAAAGTCCCCCCCCCGGCCAGCCTCCGCTTTCCCGAGGGGTAAACGTTGGGGGGATTTAGAACAGGAACGTGACTGGAAAGAGGGGTGGGAAGGGTCCCCCCGTCTCCCTCCAGGCTTTGGGCTCTCGTTCCCATGATCCCTGACCCTCAGCCCTGGCAGATGGGAATTGGAGTCCAGCCACACTTGGATGGACGCAGGTTCGACCGAAATGAGTGGTCCCGGTGGCTTTGCTTAAGGATGCAACCCTCCCCCCCCCCCGTGTGTGTGGGGGAGGGGGTCAGGTCCAGGTGCGGCCACAATTTTCTTTCCTGCGAGCTGCCTGGGATGCTGGGCCCTTGGCTTTCGTAGCCGGCAGAGAGAGAGAGGGAAGCATTCTTGGCGGTCGCCCTTGACCCCCAGCGCCTTCACCCCATCTTTCCCCCTTGTTGTAACGGGGGAGGGAAGAGGGCCCCCTCCCTGCCATTCGGCCCTTGGCCCTGCCCTGCTTTCGGTTACGAGAGAACAGGAGGAAGTGGAACCAGTGAAAATAAGGGGAAAGAAGCTTGGAAGGAGAACACGGCCATTGCTGGGGCCCTTTGGCTCTCCTTCTGGGCACTGGCCTCTCAGGGGCCAAACTTCCTTGGGAGATGGGAAAGAGGGACATAAAACTTCTTTTTTTTTTTAATCCCAAAAGAATGATCCTGCCCTGCCCACTTTCCATCACAGCTCAGCTTCGCAGGTTATCACCAGAAAGTTGCCCAAGTGAGCCAAGGGGCATGCAGTCAGCCAACTGTTCCCTTGTTAATGCAACCGATGAAATATTAGGTCAGAATCCACCAAATATTCCCCCAAATTGTATAAGGAGAGCGGTAGTCCCAAAGACTCTCTTTTGAAGGAACATTCCTTGAAAACCTAAAAATCATTCTGTCCACTGGGGGGGGGGTTCTGGTCCAGCCCTTCTTGTTGTCCCCCTTTGGCCCAGGCGAGTGGAGGGGAGCTCAGCCAAGCACTGGGCCACGAGAACAACCTGCGCATGGCCTCCCCTGTTGAACCTCCACATGAGGAGGCAGAGGGTGGGGTGGGGCTGCTCACGGGGTGGCAGCTTTCACTTCTCCCTTTTGGGTTCTTCCTCCTTGAAAGAGGGTGGGGTGCAAGCAAAGCAGCTGCCTGCAGTTCTGTGCCTGCACTGAATCCTAACACCACAGGAAAAGGGCAGAAAAAGCCCCCAGGCCGGTCCAGGATCCTGATGCTTCCAGGAGTTTGAACCCCCCCCAGGAAGGCACAGGCACATCCCATCCTTCCGTGCCTACAACTGAATGTTGCAGCACAGAGTATCAGCGTCACCCTTTGCCAAGATACTCTGCTGTGCTTTATCCCTCTTCCCACCCTCTGTCCTTTAGCATCATGGGACAGTGGGCACTTGGCTCTTTGGAGGAGGAGGATGGGGGCTGGAGTCCCACCTGCTAAGGGTGCCACGCTGGGAAAGGGCTGCTCTGCTTGCATGTTGGACCTACCGGAGCCTGTCGGGAATCCAGATATTTCTGAATGGCATAGAACGCGTGAGAATGTTGCCCCTGCATGTTATTGTTGCCCAGCAGCTGCACTTCACAGCAACCTGCCTCTTCCCTAAAGGAATTCTGGGAAAAAGTGGGAACTTCTCTTTGTGCAGCTTCAGGTTGCAAATCTGTGCTGTGCTTAGCAGGTTACAGGCAGCCCCTGGCTCACATATGACCATTGCAGCCTCCCTGGGGTCACGTGATCAAAATTCAGATGCTGGGCAACCGACTCATATTTATGACGGTCGCAGCGTTCTGGGGTCATGTGATCCCCTTTTGCGACCTTCTGACAAGCAAAGCCAGTGGGGGAGCCCGGTTCACTGAACTGTTTTACGAACTTAACAACTGCAGTGATTCACTTAACAAGTGTCGCAAGAAAGATCATGAAATGAGGCAAAACTCATGTAATAACTGTCCCACTTAGCAACAGAAATTTTGGGCTCATTGTGGTTGTTAAGTTAAGCACTGCCTGTACATCTATTCCTTTTTACCCACAAGATGATTAAAAGCAGGATTAAACATGTTTATCCACAACGTTCCTCTTCAGTTGCCAACAAAGTTCTGCTGTTTCACATGGGCTCCGGAGTTGACGCAAGTTCCCAATTTGCTTAATTTTGGATCTGAAAAGTGCATTGTGGATAGAAAATGAATAATCACAAACAAAATGATTTCTCTCTCTCTCTTTTAGTTTTAGTGACCGGTGGTATCGTGGCTGTTTCAGGCCAATTCAAAAGGTGGGAGATTGCAGTTTATGCAATGTATCCTTTTGTAAAAATATGTTAATTGTATAAATTCTATTCCCCTGTAGCCTTCTAGGACAAATAACACCTGGATTGCCTATATTTATTTTAAAATGATATCCATATTAAAAGGAGTCTGAACGTTAAGTTCTGCCTTAGTCATGAAAGCCGATTGGGTGACTTTGGGCCAGTCCCTCTCTCTCAGCTTAACCTACCTCACAGGGTTGTTCTTGTGGGAAAATAGGAGGAGAAACTTATGTTGGATATGTTTGCTACCTTGACTTATTTGAAAAATAAGGCGGGATACAAATAAATATTCAATATGGGGACTCAGTGATGATTGGGTTCCAAGGCAGAAAGTAGAAAAATTAGGGAAGCTTAGATGGCTTTGCTTCTTGCAGCATCTGATTGCAAAATTTGGAATGTTTGTGGTTGAAGAATTTGGAAATGTTGTGGCTGTGAGTAGGATGGAAGAGTGAAGGTCGGGTCCTGTTTGCCAAACATGGTCCAGGAAATTGCATTTTGTCTGTTCCCGGTCACTCTGCTCTCCGGGGTTTTCTGCAAAGTTTCAGAGAGGAAGAAGAGGGATAAAGGCGAGGCCAGCAGGAGCACAGACAGATCACGAGGGAAGGAGCCCACATTGGTGATTTCACCCCGGGGGCTAAAGCCAGGGTTTGTGAAAGAACACGCAAGAATCTGGGCATGACCGACAGGACTGAATTCACCCAATTTTACCCAATCTGGAGCCATTGTGGATTTTTAGACTGGCAAATACAGGCTTGATGATCAGCCACAGTCTTTGGGAATGTTTTTGCAATGATTACTTCTCTCAGTTTCCAAAAGAAAAAAATAATAATCAAAGGATGCTTCTTCCCGGATATGCTGGTAGAAGGTGGGTCTCTTTGGCCCACAACAAAGAGCACCAAAAATCATGCCAGGATTTAGGTCCCAGGTGTCTCTACCGCTCAGCCAACCCACCCTAGCCAGCCTTGTTAGAGGGCCCACTTTCCTCCCTTTCCATCTCCTCCCCCCCCCCCCCGAGAGGTGTTCTTAATCCTGTCTTTGGATGGGGGGAGGGCAACGGGCCTTATTTACTTCTTATTATTTCTTAAATTTGTTTGCTGTCCATCTTGCTTTGATCTGCCTGGTTCATCTCCCTAAGATTTTTCTCTCTTTCTTGTGTTTCTCCCATACTGGGGATGCCATGGGCCCCGGCCGGTGGTAAATGTACTCTCACTGTTGTACCACCCCTGGGCCTGACCTTTCTTAAATTGCACGTTGACTGGTCTCAGCCCCAGATGTCTCCTCCTGCCTAAAATTGGCTGCCTGTGGTTGTTTCTTGTCTTGCTTCGTCTCTGCCTGTCTCTCTCTGCTGTCTTGGAGAAGCCTTAAAAATAATCCTTATTTTTGTCCTTAACCTTTTTGTCTAAAGAGTGGCGGGAGTGTTTGTTTGCTTTTTGGAGTATCCCCGAGGAAAAAGGAAAAAGGGATCTACTCTAGAGAGATGGTGAGTGTTGCATTTCTTGACTTTGTGAGGAGGACCCTGGATTGGAAACCTGGTGCTGGGCGCAGAACTCAGCCTGCTGGGAAACACAGCTTTCCCTAAAACAAAGACGAAGCCTCTACGTAGTCTTCATGCTGTAAAAATGTTATATCAGGGGTTGAACAGAGAGATGTGATTATTTTCTGCGCCTCCCTGTTGCTAATACTTAGAGGGTAAACTGTGTAAATGGAGGATGGCCAAATCGATCTGGATCTTTTTGAAAGGAGGAGTTGGGGGAATCTACAAGGTGAGATTAGTTGGCATTTTGCCTAGCCCAGTGGTGGCAAACCTATGGCATGGGTGCCAGAGGCGGCACTCAGAGCCCTCTCTGTGGGCACGCGTACCCTTGCCCCAGTCCTAGGCCTTCAGCTGGGTTTTATAAAACCTTTTCGCTTTAGGCCTCCGCTGCCATGTGCAAAAAAAAAAAAAAAGGTTCAATCAGTCAATTTCAACTTCTCACAGGAAAAAAAAAGATCTCGCAAAGTTGGAATTGATTGATTGAACTTTTTAGTCCCACCCAGTCTGCCGTTACTACCGCAGCCGCGCCCACCCAATGGGCCACGCCCAGCCAATTGGCCACACCCACCCGGCACTCGACGATGCATAAGTGGGTTTTGGGTTGCAGTTTGGGCACTCAGTCTCTAAAAGGTTCGCTATCACTGGCCTAGCCTATGGCAAGACAAGAAGCGACGGATGGAAACTAATCAAGGAGAGAAACAATCCTAACAGCGAGAACAATCAACCAGTGGAACAGAAATTGCCTTCAGAAATCGTAGGCGCTCCATCACTGGAGGTCTTTAAGAAGAGATTGTCTGAAATGGTTGGTATAGGTCTCCTGCTTTAGCAGGGGGTTGGACTAGAAGACCTCCAAGGTCCCTTCCAATGCTGGTGTTCTGATAGTATTCTGAATCTGTGTTCAGAACTAATAAATGCATAGAAAAGGGTCTCCTTTTCTGAATGTCACAGAACGCTTCTTCCCTTGAACCCGGCGTCTAACTCTGTGCTTTCTTCTTTGGCTGTCTCTTTATTCTGATTTCCTGCAGTGGCCAGAAGTATTTGACAGCTGCTGTGAAGACCTGTGGACCTCTAACTAGGAATTATTATGTCCGGGCCGTTCTCCACGCATGGTAATTTGCCTCACGACCATTTTCAGACTCGGGCACATCCACAAACCCTGGGCAGGATTTTCAGCAGCCGCTTCTGCTGCTCAGGGTTTGAGGCTGCGGAGGTGGAGGTGAAGGAGGGCAAAGATATTCACAGATGGTCCTCGACTCACGGCTGGTGGTTTAGAAACAATTTGAAGTTACAACGGACCCCCTCAAAAGCTATTTATGACCCAGTTTTGAAGTTACGACGTCTGCCTCTCCCCATGGTCATGTGACCACTTTTTAAGCCACATTTGTGGCCATTTGTTGTAACCCAGAGTACCTGACTGGGATTTATGACATTGTTCCAGAAACGCCCCCAAACGGGTTCAGTTATTGACTGGTGCAAAAAAAGTTGTGAAATCGGGTGCTGGCCAGTGTCAATTGGTCATTGGGAGGGAGTTTGATTATTGTTCATGGGGAGTTTTTGGCATTTCAAGGACGCTTGTGGGGCAGAGAAAAATACTTCCGCATGTGTTTGGGGAGAAGAGGAGGTGAGAAAGTTGGACAAGACTGCATTTTTAAAAAAAATGTAGACCCTCCTCACTTATCACAAACCAAGAGAGGTTACAGGAGTTCTGATTGTTGGCTGCAAGCAAACTCCATAGTTTAAACATGCCCTCATCCAATTGCAGATTTATCTGTCCTGCATCGCTCAATTCTTGAAAAGAAAACCACATTTATGTCCATGGATGCTAAATAGGAGCCGTGGCTTTATTCTCAAGACTACGTGGCCATGGATCTGATGCCCGGCTTGAGGAAGCTGATTTGATAGTTTTGGTCACTTAAGGTTTTCTGGAGAGCCAAACTCAAACCTTGTTAAATTAAATAGTTTTCACAATCACAGGGGCTGCATATCTAGCTAACTTTTTTCTCTTTTAAACCTTTGCTTTGGCAGTCTAGCCGTTCCTGCAGGATATTTGCTGGCCACCATCCTTGGCACCGTTTGCCTGGCCATAGCAAGTGGCATCTACTTATTGGTAAGTGGCGGGCAGACTAGCATAAACATGAGGGTTATAATTCTGATTCTCCTACTTAGTTTTCTCCTCCCCTCCTTTTGAAAGAGCCAAGAGCATTTTTTTTTATAGAGGATTTTGGACAGAGAGAGATAGATAAAATATATGATTCTGTGAAATCACCTGCAATAGACCCATCGTCCACTTGTAGAGAAAATTATTCTAAAAGACACCACTCCTCTAGTGCTCATTAATTAGCCACTTAAAATGTAGTGGGTTGTTCATGAATTAAGTCAGTTTATTTATTTAATTTAGCCAAAATTTAAGGCAATCCTTCCAGGTGGCAAAGGGACTTTACCTGTGCCAGGTAGGGAAAAGCCTTGGACAATCCTCTTGCACCCTCTGCTGGCTGCAACGGGTAGGACATTTTTTTGAAGACAACATGGTTGCGAATGTGTTTTGGTTTCACACAGGTCACAAGAAATGGGTATCTGTATCTTTGGGTCTAAAGCGATATTTGTCAAATTAATATTTAGTTGGCTGTATTTCCAAACTACATTGAGCCCAGTGAATAAATCAGTGAACAAAGATTAAAATCCTAAGTTTAGCTGGGGAGTTCTGGGAATTGAAGTCCACCAGTCTTAAAGTGGCCAGGGTTGGATGCCCCGGCTGTAGATATTTATCTCATTTGATTAATTGCACTGCATTTTCTTTTCAATTTCTTCCATATACTGAATTTTACTTGAAATTCAGCCTTTCCTAATTTTCCTTCCTTTCCACAATAAACTCCCTCTGGCTTTTATTCCTCAGGCTGCCATTCGTGGCGAAGAGTGGCGCCCCATTGAAGCGAAGCCTCAAGAGCAGCTCCAGGTGGGAGGCACCATCAAGCACCCCCCCAGCAACCCACCCCCCCGGCCCCCTGCAGAAGCCCGGAAGAAGCAAAGGGAGGGAGAGCAAACTGGCCAAGACAATCCTATTGAAGTGGTTCCTTAGGAATCTCTCCCATCAGATAGACTGCAGTCGGAGGGGGAGGCTCCACTTCTGCTTGACCAAGGCATGGGTGACACCCTCCAGGATTGAAACTCGGGTCAGATCTTTCTCAAGCAGAAAGATGTGGCTGTACCTGAATTCCTGCAAGCCCCTGGGGGGGGCTTCTTTGGTCTTTCTCTTGTCTTTCCTTCCTCCCCCCCCCTGCTGACCCCCACTGTATGCTTCAGACAGGCAGGGCTTGCAGGCCAGTTATTGCCAATAACTGATGCTGATTGTAAGCCCGAAGGAAGGCAAAGTTGTAAATTAGTTTTAGATAGGTGTCTTTATACAGTTATAAACTTTTCTGAGGCTGGATTCAAATTTGAAAAGATTTAAAGAAAAGGTTTAACATTTGAAATATTGAAATAAAAAGGGATCCCAAAGCTTCCTGGATCACATCAGACCTGGCCACACCAGCAAAGCTCTTGGCTTCATTTCTTCCCCTTAGAAGGGAACAAGTTGCTCCTATTTGAGGCAAAAGACCCCTTCCGTCTCCCCACCCTCTGCTCCTTCTCTCTTTCTCTTCTTTCCTCCCAATCCAACATATTTTGCCCCCATGTTGACCCACAAGAGAGCAGGACTTTTGCACCCACCCTTCTCAGGGGTCTTGCCAGGCCCCCCCATGACTTCTGTCCCCTTTCCCCAAAGTTTTTGCCCAAAACTCTGCTGAAACTCGCACCCACTGCTTCCCCTCGGCTGCTGCTCCTATTCTGCCTTTAAGTCATTCCTACTTCTTTTTCCCCATCTCATTTCAACTCTGATCAAGTCTGGCTTGTCTCCTTTTCAAAGGGAGCCAAAGAGACCCTGTCTCTACAAATCATGTATACATGGTGTTTTAGTCAAATATTCCCAGAAGCATCATTTTTTTAATTGAATGGATTAATCTTACCATTCCTTCCATGTTTATTGTATTTTATCTGGCCTTCCAATGCTTTATTAAATTCCTCATTTTAACGTATGAAGTCTAATCCCCTCCCCCCCGTGCTTATTTTTAACTAGTTCAATAAACAAACATCAGTTTTGAGAACATTTTTTTGCTCAGTGTTTTAAAATTATCTATTTGCAATAAAATATATCTTGCTCAATCCAGCCAGATTGAAAATGGCTGAAGAAATCCTCATTATCAACAGCTCCCAAATCTCAACCCCCCTCCCCTCCAGGGTGCCTTAAGGAAGAGCCGAGAACGGCCTGCTTCTGTCTGAAATATCAGTAATGCGCCCGTGTTATGAATAAAGCCATCTGAGTCAGCTGTTTTCAGTACAGAAATAAAACCTTTATTAACGCAGGGGGTCCACCCCCCCGAGGAACAATAAATATTGTATTGCATTACAATAAATACATATAAATAATCCAATAATTTAAATTACTTTACAATACGAGGGGAGAGCAAAGGTCTCATTAGAACAAGGAAATGAATGGGTGGGGAGCAAACCCAGATCAAGGGCAACCTTCCCCTCCCCACTGCCCCCCAGCCAGGTTTATCTCAGAGAGCATCTGGGAAGCTCAGCCGAGAGACCCACCTGGGGCAACACCAGGAGAGAAACCTGCTTCAGTCCGGCTGTAGCAGCTCCTGGGGGTTGGGGTGTGTGTGGGGGGGTTGGGCCAGCCACATCCCAGCTCAGCCCATCTTACCGGCTGTCGGCTGTCGTGGGGATAAAATGAAGGCAGAGCCTCACAGCAGCCCTGGGATACCCGTGCAATATCTCCCTTCAATGAAGGAGCCCCGGAAGGCTCCCCTCACCCACCAGAAGGCAGATCAGGGCCAGCCCTGCCTTATGCAGTCTCAGCATATTGGGGTGCTGGGGTGGCCCAGGGGCAGCTAAGAACACTGCCCCCCAAAAGGAAGGGAAGGCTTCTGAAAATTGGCCCCACGTCTTTGGGAGTAATAAATATAATAGCTTGAAGCACTGGAACATCTCAAAAATACATTAACATAAATACAAATAAATAAGCAGGAATTCCTTTTCATTTGTTGGAGAGCAAAAGGCTTTTGAAGAAGCTTCCGGTTGGATCCCTCGAGGGTGGGGGTGAAGGCCAGGTTTTCCCCCCTCCCCCACAGAGGAGGGGTGTCACAGCCACTGGCTGCAAAGCACCAATACTTTAAAACAAACACGGTTCCCGATGAAGTTGGAGGGACGAGGGACGCAGACCGAGGCCCAGCCTGGGGTCTGCTCAGCTGCTGTAACGCGGGACGGCGCAGGTGCAGGCCACGGGCACATCGATGTAATCCTTCTCGAAGTAGAACCTCTCCACGCTGCCGCCGTTGTGCGGGCAGGCCTTGCGGCGAAAGACCATGGTTCTCTGGAAGACCTCCACCGAGTTGAGGGAGGGGGTCTCCCGGCCCGTCTTGCCATCGATGCAACCTTTGCAGCTGCACCTGGCGAAGGCCAGCTGGCGGGGGAACCGGTTCTCGTCTTCATCGATGCTGTGGAACAGAGGGAGAGGAAAGAGGGTTAGACACCGCCATGTCTCTCCAGTCTCCCCTCCCCAGGGAATTGGTTGCTGGGAAGTCCCCCTGGGAACTGCTGGGGAAGGAAGGCCAATCCCAAAGGTTTTGGGACACGCAAGAGCACGTCTGTCTGGTGGGAAGACACACGTGTTCACTGGGGAAATGGAGGACTCGTTTGCCCCAAAACATCCCAGAAGGATGCCACGCTTCTCTGTCTCCATCCTGAAGCAGGGGATCCCCAAGATCAGGGCTTTTCAACCTTTTCACCCATTGTACCACTTTTAGGATATGGCAATATCCGAGTACCACCAGTCGCCTAGCAAGGTGTCAAAAACTTGACCATAAAAAAAAGGGAAAAAGTGATAAAGTACAGGTAGTCCTCAACTTACAACAGTTCGCTTAGTGACTGAAGTTACAATGGCACTGAAAAAAGTGCCCCCCAAGCCACAACCGAGCAAGACACCTGCCTGCCTACCCGGCAGCGCTCTTCCTCCTGTTGGAGGTGTTCATTGTTTGAGTATTTCTATTGAGGATTGGCAGTGGGGGTAGGATGGGGGGTGTTTGGTTTTTATTCCCCCCATCTGCTGGGTGGTTGCAGCAGGTTTTGGTCACTTCACTTGACCCTGGGACACTGTGACCGTCATAAATATGAATCAGTTGCCAAGCATCTGAATGTAATCACAAGACCCTGGAGATGCTGCAACATTCCAGCTGATCGGCGTTTCTTCTGGGCTCAGCAGAAGCACCAGGATCAGCACCGAGCTCCAGCTGGAGCCTGGCGCTGATCCTGGCGCTTCCGCTAAGCCCTGACAGCCCCGAAGAAGTGCTGATCCTGGCGCTTCCGCTGAGCCCTGACAGCCCTGCAGCTCCAGCCATCTCTCGGTCAGGCTTGTGCGGTGCTGCCACCGGTTCAGCTCATTCCCCTCCCCCACTACCACTTTTCTAGGATGGTCGCGTACCACCTGCCAGGTGCCAATGTACCACAGGTGGTACCCGTACCACTGGTTGAAAAGCCCTACCCAAGAGGGCCAAGCCATCACGGGGGTTGTTTGGTTGACCTCTGGAAATGGGGTGAACCCAGTGATTCTTAGCAAACCATAGCTTGTTGAGGTCTTCAGATCCAGGTACACCTTGAGGGAATCCCGGCCAGGAAAGGGGAAAGGTGTGGGGAGACTCGGGAGCAGATTGAGGGCAATCCCAGTTTGGCCCCCGCATTTCAAACCTCCCCAGGCCGCCTCCAACTCTTGACGCAAGGTCCTTACTGGTATGTCCAGGGCGAGATGGACCTCTTGTGCACTTCACCGCTCTGCATATCCTGGAGCTTCAGGTTTGGGCAGCTGTGGCTGTGATGCCTCCGTGGGTGTGGGCGGCTGTTCTGCTCGTTCTCCAGGAACGGGACCAGCTGCACACAGTCTTGGTGTTGCAACAAGGAGACCCAGTTCCGAAACTGAACCGGCATCGGCTCGTTCCCCAGCTCCTCCGCGGTGAAGCACCCCAGGTGCTTGGCATCTGCCCAGGCGAGGCACAGAAGGGCAACCAGGAGGGACCACTGGGGAAAGTAAAAGAGGGCAAGCTGAAGAAGGCTGGGGGAGGGTTTTCCACTTTTCGCCACGCCTTCTTTCCCCCACTAAAGTGTCAGGATTAGTGAGATGTTATTTCAAGTGTATATGTCTATGGAGAGTCTCAATCATCCAGTTTCATGGTTGTCCCAAAGATACATTTCCCCCCCCCAAAAAAACTAGACTCTTGTTTTTTCAAAGAAGCTTCTTCAGTTCGCAAGGAAAAAGCGCCTTTCGAACTATCAAGTTTACAACAAAAAGGAGCATTTATCATCTCTGAGGGGACCTACTGTTGCTTAATTGATCCCCATTTCCTGAGCTTTGTAACCAGGAATTAAACCACAAAGCTTCTCTCTCCAGTGGGAGGTTTACAACTGCACAAAGCCAATTAATTTAAAACATCTTTCCTTATCCATATTTGAACAGAGAGCATTCCAAGGAGGCTTTGCCCTTCGCACTTTCTAGAGAATAACTCTGTCGCTTCCTTTTATGCAAGCGACCATAAAATTGTCCGGCGAGGGTGACTGAAAAGAAGCCAGGATATTTTTATGACCAAGAGCGTCATCTGAGTTTTAGAGACGGTTGGCCATGTCAGATGCTCTGTCTTTTTAAGAGCTGCTCCCCGAAAGCGAGGGATGAAGGAGAATAAGACTCTTCCTTGGAGACTCTGCCTCCCATTTCCGCTCCCCTCTGTACCCAGAGCCTTCTTTGCCTTAGCCCCCTCCGGAGCTGAGCATGTGCAGAGTGCTTGAAGCACCTCTGAGCACATGCCCCATCACCGGCAGGTGGGCAGACCCAGAGGCCATCAGCTCCTTGCTGACTTTGCTGGCCAGAGTCCCTGGCCAGGTGTTCGACTGGCCCCGAGGCATTTCCTTCCCACACCTGGTGGTGGCAGAGGCCTCCTTCTTACCATCTTGACTGAACCGGCGGGAAAGAGGCAGAGGCAGAGAAGGATGCTCCGGAGTCCCTTTTCGGTTCTCAGCTGCCGCTCTGAGGCAAGAAGCCTGTTGCAGGACCAGTGATCTGAGACACCTTGACACCTGCCACCGGTTATATACCCAGGGATGTTACACACCTGGAAACTCCAACTTCTCCCTCCTCCCCTTGGGGAAATAGTTGAGTCTACTCATTTCCTCCTTGGCTGCCCAACAGGGGCGTGCAATCACTCCTATCTTTTCCCTGTGAGCTTCTCGTCTTCAGCCTGGATGGCTGATATGGATCCTGAGCCCCTGCAGGCAGCCATTTGTGTGTGTGTGGGGAGGGGGTCCTGGGCTAGGATGATGGGAACTAGAGTGCAGCCACACTTGAACAGGCAGCTATTTTGCACTTCTGCCTAGCATTTGGGAGGTGGGACAGGCAAGGATTGGAGCTAACCAGGTTTAGTGGCTTACACAAATCATCTATTGGTTTTCTACTCTTCCAATACTTTATAAAGAAAAAGCACGTGTTCCTATTTCTCTAGTTCAGGGGTGTCCAACCCTGGCAATTGTGAGACTTCCAGAAGTCCACAAGTCTTAAAGTTGCCAAGGCTGCACACCCCTGCTCTAGTTCCTTATAGACAACAAATTAACTTGCTATTTTAGTTTCTATTTAATCTTGGCTTATCCTGGACATAACAGGGGTGTTTCTGTTTTGAGTTGCCCTGGACTTCTTTTGGGGTGCTGTGCTGACAACTTCCTCAGACGGAGTGGAAGCGCACAAGGCTTGTGATGGGCTACAAAGGTAGCTCACAATGGAAGGAAGTCTAGTGACTCTGTTGTTCCCCCCCCCCATGACTTTTGTGAAACTCCAGAGCCTCCATATTTTTGAACACTCGGACAAAATCTCTTGAAAGGAATTTATTCTTTTTCTCATCCTTCTGAGTCTTCATGTTTTCTTCCAGGGGTTTAAATGAAAGGAAAAACAAGAAGCTTTCAGATGTGAGGGAGAGAGAGAGAGAGAGAGAAAAGGCAAACTAGAAAGTGTTTAAATCAAAACTTTAAATCAAGATTCCTGAACATTGGACAAATGCAAACCCTTC